ACAAAGAAACTATAGATAATTTCAATAAAATGTGTACACTCTCTGCACCCTACAGGTAAGCCCATCCCTATACTTATGCCCTGCCCTACCCGCTTCTTGCCAGTACTATTGACGCTGGACACTTCATTTGACATATTGCACATTGCCAAGGTAATATTGCACCATGCAATATTCATTGTTTGTTTTGAAGACTTTGTTTACTATGTGTTTTGCACTGTTTGGGTTGGGAGAAACAGATTTTTATGTACATAGGAGCAAAGAAATAACAAGCTCGCACAAACTCATCAGAGTAACATAGTATTAACATTGTTTTTTCTTTATTTTTAATGCATTATATATGATAGCACCATTAATCCCATTAAATCAGAAAGGCAAATGAATAGCAATAACTTTGCAAGCATGATCAGTTCTCATTAACATTTTTTATGACTTGGAAACTGGATAATCTATTCCATGTTTGGCCTGAACATGGAATAGATCATTACATAAATTATTACATCAATGACTACTGGGTACCTGGGTAACCACTGTGGATAACCAGTGCTGCAGATGGGCAGGGTGAAAGCCTACACTCCACATTATCTGATAACTTTTTCACATCACCGCTGTATTTCTTGATTATGGCTGAAATATCCGGTCGGGGAACAGATTGTCCCTTGTTACCATTTTTAATGAGGTCAAAGAAAGTGTGCTTAGTTTTTAAGGTATTGTTTGGTCCCATTAAATGTCTCAAAACATTCAGGGACAACATGCAGTTTACAGCTATCAGTACAGCCAAGTAAAGATGAAATGATGGCAAGAAAGAGCACAGAGCTTCAGACATGAAGACAGGACATGAGTGAATGTGGCTTCATAATGACTCATTGAAAATTTCCAGAAGTTTGAGTTCAAATTTATGCCCATAAAATGCACCCAGATGACAAACTGTCAGTTGTTTGCTCCTAAAAGACCCTCGCTAGTAGCCTGAGCAAGTAGCAGAATTAGCTATCAGGGTAATGCTGTAATAAGGAGATAGACTTCAAGTTATGTCTTTAAAGATAGTGCTATTAATTGAGTAAATAATGTTACTTGCATGCCTGTCACGAGCTAAAAAATTAAAGCTGACATAAAAATCCAATATAACGTTGAGCTATCCTCGATAGCTTGATGCTATCATTGCTGGCTACCACGGTGAAAATACAAGGAGCATTACTGAAATGCTGGTTTAAAATGCAGATTTCTACATCACACATTGCTGTATAATGACATTACTTTATAGTTCTCTGTCTGTACCTGACTCTGTGTAACACTATTAAAACGTTTAAATGAAATTACTTTTTTAGTGTGAATATTCCACCTGTCCAATCTGGCAACACTGGCTACCAGAATTTTTCTGATGTAACGTAATAGGAGACCATAGATATCCACACATCTAAATGTATATATGTGAATGTATGTATGTGTATATGTGTATATGTGTATACGTGTATGTAGAGGGGAAGGCAGTCTTCTGCTGTTAAGCGTTGGGGAAAAGTATAATGCCCAGCTCAGGCAATCATATCAGATCTTGCAAGTTGTAAACCAGTCATATCAGACCTTGGGGGGGGAGTCTCTGGTGCTGCTTGATCTGCAAAGTAACGTTAGTCAGCAGCTGAAGTTGAGACAATATTTTGCAAAAAAGTTTGACACAGTAAAAAAACAGGTGTTATTCAAAATACATCATATACAGAGTGAACAAGCAAGACATTATGTAGTGAAGACACCTAGCTGCAATAAGTATTTTTTACAAAGTATGGTCAGTCATCTGGCTATCATATTTTTACCGGTTGCTTGTTAGCTAGCTGCCTTTAGCTTAAGATGAGGTAAAGGCAAGGGGATCAGCTAATGTTATAAAACACTAACGTTAGCTAGCTAATGAGCCATCTTTTAGTCTAAGCATGAATTTTAAGAAACTTCACAGACAGTGAGGGTGTGAACAAATGAAAGATATAAAGATAAGGACACTGACGGTTCTTTATATCCTTTGTTTTCATATTTCTCTTCAGTGTTTGAAACAGTCACATCTGTCTGAGCCGTAAATTGTTGTTCATTATAAGTTAATGTCAGTGAAAAAGTCACTTAGTATTGATCATAGTGCAATGTTATATCCTTCAGTTCCTCAAACTGTGGGTGGACATATGAAATATTTTGAGAAGTGGCAGCTCCGCTAAAGGCCAGTCAAGTGAAAAGAATTTTACCAAATCAAATAAAAATGGAATGGATTGATGTTTCATAAAGCCTTGAGTTCTGCTAAATCTGAGCTTGATAAAAATATTAAATAAATAAATTATGTTTTACTGTACACAGGCAGGAGATGAAGAGAAACAAGCTGAAGGAGACTGACAGGGCTGAAGGAGCAGGTCTGATCAGGTACTAATGTATAATCTGTGTATTTAAATAGCATTTTTAGAACCTCCAGTTTAACCAAAAGAAGAGATGACATTTCTTGATCTCAGTAATTTTGCATGAACTGTACCTTTTGTGAGTGGATGGATAGCATTCTGTGATAAATACACTGTGAAGAGACAGAACTTCTATGTGCTAAAGTCACTAAATGGTCATATTCTTTGATCAGTTTTATACCTATTGCTATTCAAAAAGTTCATGATGAACAGACAATTTGGGGTCAATTCCTGGGAAACCATGCCCCCATCATGCCTATCTGTAAATCTCTAGTTACATTCCTGGCCTGCACAAGAGATCGGTAGCATGGCTGAGTGCTTCACGTAGCTTTGCAAAAGCTAAGAAACTTTTCAACAGGTGGTGAGTTGATAAAGGTGTGCGCAGTTGATAAGATAGATGAGGTTTTAAGTCATCATGATGAAAAACAAAGAAAACTGTTGTAGACTTATTAAGACAAGTGCCATTATCAGACAGAACTGAGTAGAAATTCTGGAGAAGAACTGCTTGTCAGCTATTTTCATGCCCTCAGGCCTTTGGTCCAGCTCCTGAAAGCCTAACCAATGGAGAATAAGCCTGACTGTATCTACCTAGATACCACTGAGGAAAAAAAAAATTTCTGTTTCAAGATTTTAACCCTTTGTTTCCAACCCAATCTTAACAAAGGAACAGCTACATTACTACAATACTTGCAGAGTTTAAATACAACAAGCATAATGATTATATAAAATAAAAATAAACTAAAATACATACAAGTATTTTTCAAGTCCTGAAAAAACACTAGGACTCCTCTGAAGGCCTAGAAGAACTTGAGGTTTCCCCAAGGGTAAATTATCACTTGATCAAAGCGAATTCCTGTATTTGAATAAAGAACAGAATGTTAGAGGTGTTGTGGTTGGAAAAAATATTTATTTGTGTTAATTCCAGACATCAGCAAAAATGAATCAAACTATAGCTTTAATTAAACTGACATCATGCTTACATTAGTTAGAAGATAAAAGCAATGGTTTATTTCATGAAGCCATAACTTGATTATAAATGTAACATCAACTGCACTAAAAAAAGTTAAACAAATAGGTTACAGTTCATTAAGAATGAGAATATCAGAACATATGACATCATTTGATTTTGTCAACTACCACTAGTTTACGAATATTTTTAATTTAGTTAGGCATAAGGATAAGGTAAAGAATAAAAAGATAAATATGATACAACTTAACAAACAGACCAAAATATGTTAAGCATCAAAACCCATGACTGCAGAGAATATATAATCATACAAAACACAAAACCACATGCAGTCATTAATGTTCAGAACTACCACAAAGTAAGTCACAATGATACTATTTGACTGTCATTGCTTTATGCTAATATGTTTTAAACTGGGCCTACACTACATTAAAGTACCTCCTATTGTCAACTTCATATTTGTAACAGTTGCCTTCTGTGAACAGTGCTATGGAATTCCTTGCTTTCAGTGCATTTAGCATGATTAATGCTCTCTGTACTTGTACTGTGTATTATTACTAATAACAGAGAATGTTGAACTCTATTCAATTCACTAAACTATGGTCATGATTAAGATATAAATCTTTTTTTAAACTGTGTAGTAAAGGCACTAAACTTTAGGAGGGGTGTAGCTGTACACATATTTACAGGTTTGATACCATTTTTGATTCTGAGATCAAGATTTAATTTGATTTTCAACATTTTATGTGTTTAAATGTCTTGATTCTACAAAGTAGAATTATGTAATTATATATATTATATACAACACAGAGTGTATACAGATTTAATTTCACAACAAAAGATTGAAATGTAGCAAATGTCCTGCAAAATAATATAAAATCTTATAAAACAAAACAACTGAGCTATAATTAATACAAAAATAGAGAGGATGCAACTGGACAGCAAATAATGGACCATCAAAAGAGACAGAGGGATGTACTGATGGCACATAGTTAGATTTTGGTTCACAAACCTCTTTTAGATTTTGTAATACTGCATTAAAATCATTATGCTAAAAAATTAAAGTTCAGAATATCTGATTTCTAAACTCAGAGTGTTAGAATAGTACAGTAATCAATAAATGAGAAAAAGTGAGACTCTTTTCACTTCATCAATATAAAACACTGGCAGAGTGATTGTTATTAAAATGTTGTATTAAAGATAATTCTGACAGTCTAAATGTGTTCAGATCATCTTCTGTCTGCACTCCTTAAAACCCCAACCAGGAGCTTCTGTAAATGCTTACTTTTTTGCAACAACACAGTTTTCTTCATAGACCTACAAGAGTAAAACACTTTATGAATTATAGTAATTATAGTTCATGTTTTTTGTATTAACACCAACACAAATCTTTTTTTGTTTAAAAATGAATAAATAAATTTTGATATTAATTCGTTAGGTTAATTTTGTTTTTGATGGTGTTGCATGACAGAGCAACAGCCACTGTTATGTGTTACCATGGTGAATCTTATGTATTCTTCTAAAAAAAAAGTCTATTAAGTGAAGCATACCTTTTCAGTGACGTTTGAAGCATTTCATCATAATTTCGGAAAATGTCGCATCATTTGGTGTCTTCACTGCTTCATCTGATACAGAAATAATTTAGATTATATCAAGGACAATTAAGAGAAAATATGTTTCAGTTATTGAAGAGATGCGGTTCTTACTGTTGTCTGTAGTCGTAACCTCTGTGTAAATTGTGTTCTTACTGTTGTCTGTAGTCATAACCTCTGTGTAAATTGTGTTCTCACTGTTGTCTGTAGTCATAACCTCTGCGTAAATTGTGTTCTCACTGTTGTCTGTAGTCATAACTTCTTTGTAAATTGTGTTCTTACTGTTGTCTGTAGTCATAACTTCTTCGTAAATTGCGTTCTCACTGTTGTCTGTAGTCGTAACCTCTTTGTAAATTGCGTTCTCACTGTTGTCTGTAGTCATTACCTCTTCGTAAATTGCATCACTGGGCTGAGCTGCAGAACAGAGGAAGTCATTCATCAGAGACGCCACTGTGTTCTCACATCATCAAAGATATCTCACTTATAAACAAATATTAATGAACATCATTAAATGTTCCTGTTATATATAAAATCAATAATCCATAAATGTGATCACTTATTATAGAGGAAATAAGATCTTTTAGTGAAACAGTGTAATTATTGTAAAAACTAAATGCTAGTGATTATGTTGGGAATGCACACTGAGCAGCCTGCAGTGGTTTCTGAGAGAGACCCTCAGACCCTGACAGATTCTGGCTTTGATTGGTGTTCTGCTGATTTCCAGTAGAGGGAGACAGAGATCCTGCAGCTCCACAGCAAAAGTAAAAACATACACTATATGGACAAAGGTATTGGGACACACCCCTTTAATCACTGAATTCAGGTGTTTCATTCAGTCCCATTGCCACAGGTTTATAAAGGCAAGCATCTAGCCATGCAGCCTGCCTCTTCAAACATTAGTGAAAGAATGGGTCATCCTAATGGGTCAGCTACTGTTGCAACAAGTCAGTTTGCGAAATTTCTTCCCTCCTAGATATTCCACGATCAACTATGAGTGGTATTGTTGAAAAGTGGAAGCATTGAGGAACCACAGCAACTCAGCCACCAAGTGTCAGACCACGTAAAGTTACAGAGCGTGTTGCTGAGTACTGAGGCGCACAGTACATAAAAGTCACCAACGCTCTGCTGACTCAATAACTGCAGAGTTCAAACCTCCTCTGGCGTCAACATCAGCACAGAAACTGTGTGCTGGGAACTTAATGACATGGGTTTCCATGGCTGAGCAGCTGCACGCAAGCCTTACATCCCCACGCACAATCCCAAGCCTCAGGGGGAGTGGTGTAAAGCACACTGCCACTGGAATCTGGAGCAGTGGAAACATATTCTGTGAAGTGACAAATCACACTTGTCTATCTGGCAGTCTGATGGATGAGTCTGGGTTTGGCGAATGCCAGGAGAACGTTACCTGTCTTCATTGTGCCAACTGTAAAGTTTGGTGGAGGAGGGATTATGCTATGGGGTTGTTTTTCAGGGGTGGGCCTAGACCCCTTAGTTCCAGTGAAGGGAAATCTTAATGCTTAAGCATAGCAAGATATTTTGGACAATTGTACGCTTCTAACTTTGTGGGAACAGTTTGGGGAAGGCCCTTTTCTGTTCATGCATGACTGAGCCCCAGTGCTCAAAGCAGTCCATAAAGGTGTGGCTGGGTGAGTTTGGTGTAGAAGAGCTTGACTGGCCCTCACAGAGCCCTGACCTCAACCCCATTGAACACCTTTGGGATGAACTAGAATGGAGACTGCAAGCCAGGCCCTCTCGTCCAACATCAGTGTCTGACCTCACAAATTCTTTTCTGGGTGAATGGGCAAAAATTCCCACAGACACACTCAAAAATCTTGTAGAAAGCTTCCCGGAAGAGTGAAAGCTGTTATAGCTGCAAAGTGGGGGCCAACTTATATTAATATATAACATATTAACATATTAATGCCTATGGATTTAGAATGAATGTCATAAAAGCTCCTGTAGGTGTAATGTGTAGGTGTCCCAATACTGTTGTCCATGTAATGTAGCGTACATGCTTTTTCACTTACATGCATTTGCTGAAAGAAAAATAAATAAGATGCAAGAGAAAAGCAAACTGGACTCTGTCAGCAACAGAACATAGATTATAGCTCACAGAAATCTCTCTTTAGTCAGCTGCATAAACTGATACCAGAGAGACAAAATATGTTTTCAAACCTTTGTTCTTCTTGCAATAGCAAATCAGGCCCAGTATGATAATGAGGAACAAGGTTAAACTCAGTCCCACTGACACTCCTACTGTTACACCAGTAGATCCAGGACCTGAAGCTGGAAAAAGAAAGCCATGAATCATTACAATTTCTAAACTGCTATGAGTTACAGAATGAATCAAATAACATTGAACTGTGTTCTCACCTCTGACTGAGAGCCAGCTCTTTGGTGACTCTCCTTTCTCTGGGTGTTTACAGTGGTAGAGACCTTCATCTGACTTTGAGACAGTATGGATGATCATCTCTCCTGTAGTCTGGTTCTGGAGCACTGATCCATCTTTATAGAAATCAGCTGTGAGGTTTGAGGGCTTTGTGGAGCGAAATAAACAGCGGAGAGTCAGAGAATCTCCCTCAGACACAGGATGGACAGGACTGTCCAGAATCACATCACCATCTGTAGGAGAGTATAAGTGAACAAAAGTGAAGTCACACCTTCCAAGGTTTACATTTTAACAAGTAATTTGACCTTTAGGGGGGGTTTTGTAGAGCAGGGGTGGCGCCACACCTCCAAAAATGGTGGGCCAAAACTTCTTATTTCTAAAATAACAACAACAACACCAACAACAATAATAATAATAATAATAATAATAATAATAATAAATCTATTGATGAACAGGGTCAGTGTTTCTTTGACCCTGTGCACCACTGGGTTCAGCCTCAGACTGTCAACTCTGCTAGCCAGCATCTCTGTAGAACATCAGGCTGTTTTCAAACCCAATTAATTTTCTAAACTCTGCACCAGTTTTGCAGGGAAGCAAGTGCTGTAACTCTCTCATTTGCCACCATGAAAACAGACAATAGAGAGGGTGATAGTCTCATAGTCTATTTTCAGCAGTAGTAATAAACCTTACTCGACATCAGGCTCTTTATGACTGCTTCATCAATTTGAATATAATTAATCAGGTCACTGATGCTTTGCCAAAAGTATGCTCCTCAATACATGAGCTAATATCAAACACATCTTTATTGTTCTTCTGCTGTTATCAACAGAAGCTCGAGGTACAGGAACGGTGTTTAATTTCTTCTTGAATTAGTTGAATTAGGGCAGGCCTGAACGTGGATTTTCACATGCTAAAACAGACCAAACTAAAGAGAAAGTTTGACAGGCCCGCACCAACCACGGTGGCTCTGAAAGCAATCTTAGTTTATTGGTAGCTTTTTACCAGATCCACAAACTCATGAAGGCTTTGCTGTCTGAGAAATGTCCCACGTCTCAGTTGAAATGGAGATTCTGATTGGTTTTGCCACTGAATTTGAATCCTTGTCTGTTTGTGCTGGACAGCACTCAGTGCAGTTTAAGGACAGTTAGGTTGTTATTTTTTTGAAAAAATCCTGTAATTTACTAAGAACCCAAAAGAACTAAACTATGTTTTGAAAAGAAATAATGAAAAATAAACTCCGATGGGACGCCATGTAACTATTTAGATATTTTATCATAGAGTTCATTAATAAGTGCATTCCATATAGACCTTCAGGTAATGATTGTTCACAATATTATTTGTAGATGTTTTATTGATATAGTCCCTTTTTTACAGCGAAAACTGCTAAACAAAAGAACAAAAAACCTAACAGGGAAAAATATAAAACAGAAAAATACAATATTTAAAAAACACAATAAAAAAGAGTAAAAAACCAGTCTGATCAATTCAGTTCTAGAAGTGTGGTATTCTTGAGTAAAAGATGTTTTCAGTCAGGTAAGCTAAACCAAGCTATTAATGAGCTAATGGAGTCCCAGATTTACTGAGGAAATGCATTCGGGAGCAGTGGCACCAAATGATAAAGAATAATGAATAAAGCAATGAGCAACCAGTTAAAAACCAGCTACTGGCTTGTTAAGACTTGATAAGAGCATTATATGGTCATTATAACATTATAACATCCTTCTATACTGAAGTGTTACTTAATATAAAAGTATTTAACATTTTAGTAATCAATTCAATAATTAAACAGCTTTCAAAAAAAAATCTGTAGTCCTTTATATAGGACCGTATATAGAGACTCACTGTGCACTGTGATGTTGAGAGGATCACTTCCTCCTCCAGATTCAGACTGACACCAGTAAACTCCAGTGAGGGATGTGTAGAGGGAGCTGATGTTGCATGTAGATCCTGTAACTGATGAACAATTAGACGCCTCCCCACTGTGTGTGTATCGTCTCACTCTCCATCCAGTAGAGTCACTCTGTCCCTCACAGCTCAGTGAGAGAGAGCCAGCACTAAAGTGTTGAGTTCTGCTGGGACTGATGATCAGAGAGACTGGAGGAGATGAACCTGAACATGCACACAAGATACACATGTAGCATGTTGATAATGCTAAATACTAACATAACTGAATGGGTTTGATAAATACAGCATATATATATATATATATATTATATATATATATATATACTATTTATTTCTATATTTCCTCACCAGTGATCCATAGTGTCTGTGCAGTGCTGTACTGTGTCTGATAGGCTGGTTCTCCTCTCTCTGCTCTGCACACATAAACTCCTGTGTGATTTAGAGCAGCAGGACTGAGAGTGTAGGAGCCTCCAGTTTCTCTTCTGCTGTCTGACAGGAGCTCTACATGATACAGAACATTGCCATGAACGTCTCTTATTTGTTGTAAGCCTTGTCTGTAGAGAACAGCTCTGTACCAGCTGAATGTCCAGCCTGTAGAGGAGCCTGTAACCTCACAGCTTAGAGTCACTGAGTCTCCTTCAGTCAGCCAGCTCTGTGGAGACACACTTAATACTGCCTGAGCTACATCTGACAGAGAGAACATGGAGAATATAATAGACTAAATCAAGTTTATACACAGTGATAAGATCATTACATACAGTATAATTAATGAGAATATTAAAACAAATCCACAGACTCACCAGACACAGTCAGTGTAACAGCATCACTGATCTCTGAGCTCTGAGAGTCATGTTTTCTTTCTCCTCTGCAGGTGTATTTACCACCGTTAGACTCTGTAACAGAGCTGATTGTGAACTCTTGTGTTCTTCTGTTTGAGGACAAACGGTCATCTTTATACCAGCTGTAAGTCCACTCAGTGTCTCCTCCTGCCTGTACGTCACATCTCAGAGTGACCGCCTCTCCTTTAAACACCTGTTTATCAGGCTTTATGGACACCACAGCTTTAGTGCTGTCTGTAAGAAAATCACAGTTCCCAACACTGTTATTAAATGAGAGTCAATGTTCTGAGATTGAATAATGAATTTTGCTCATTATTTGATGCACCATACTGTGCAAATGTCAGATACCACCCCTCCATTTATTTATTACGTTTTTCATTTTATAGCATCAAGACAAAAGCAAAATACATGTAATTAACAGACAATTACACAGAGAACTCAAGAACTAAGTATAATATCAGAATGTTCAGTATTTAGAGTGTCCAGCCTTTGCTTTCCATGTTTTCAGGAAACTTGCTTTCTGTTGTTCAAAGAAATCTGCAGATGTATTTTTCCACACTTCCAGTGTTCAGTCTAAGAAGTTGGTTGGATTTTCTTCTTCTGACGATCCAGGTAATGGCAAACACATTCAGTGATGTTGAGTTCTGGACTCTGGGATGACCAGTCCGTTATTCTGAGAACACTAGCAGCATCTCTGTTTGATAAGTGCATATTTTTTTCTGTGGGTACTGTGTGATTTTGGTTGTTATCTTCCTGTAATATTATTTTCTTCTCAATGAAATATTATTTCTGAGGGTACTGTATGATGTGTTTAAATTTCTTATTATTTATTAGCATTTATGATGTCTTCAACCAAAAACAATTCACCGGCTCCAGAGGTTTTACATTCCCAATTGTGCACTGATCCTCCACCATACTTGACTGACGGATGTTTCAAAGACTCTTTGATTAAAAATTTAAAGTTAACACACCATAAAACCTTACCAATGCCCTAGTGCACACTTCTTTTTTTTTCATGTCCTTTTCCTAGTAACAGCGTCTTGATAGTTGTACATCCTTTCAGACACACAGTGTTGAGTTGTCTTCTCACAGTTGAAGGATAACCAGAAACATAGATTTTTTCATATGTGAAGCAAAACTGGGGCTTGATTTTCTCTCACAGGTGAAAGCTTTAAGTACTGATTATCTGATGGTGACAGATTTGGTGGTCTGTTAGATTATGCATGGTGTCCCATTTTCTTTTGATCTTTAAAAAAAGTTTTAACCTTCAGTTTTGGAAACTCTTGTTTTGTGTTTATTTTCTTTGACTCTCTCTTTTGAAAGTGTATGATCTTATAACTAATCTTCATGTCCCAAGTTTTCAGTATTTTCAGTATTTTACAAAAATACTGCATTGGTCATGGTGACATCACTTTGCTTTCAGTCATGGGAAAACTGTGATAACGCACAGCCTCCTGTAGTAGATTCCTTTAGAATATCACAAGGCATTGATAACACCAATTTATTATTAATAAATTTAGTATTGGTAATATTATTGTTACCAATTACAATTATTTTCCCAATCAGTGACTTTTGTTTACATTTTATGGGCTGTTGTGAAATATGTCAGTGTGAACACTAAGCAGTCCAGAGCTAAAGTGGAACAATATATCATTTCTGCTTTGGAAGAAAGTGGAACAATTGTAATATAAATTATTTAATCTTATTTATGCTGATAAAATTCAGAACTACACAGTATCACTCACAAAAATCTCCTACTCACCAGTAACATTTACCCAGAGTGCATCACTGTAGTGTGTGTAGTAGACTGGGTTTCCTCTGCCAGCTCTGCACCAGTACTGACCTCCATCAGAGAGACTAACTGAGCTGATGGTGTAGACGTTGGTGATGGTCTCCTTCTCAGAGTTCTGTGTGTGTTTGGACCAGTAAAACGTCCATCCAGCAGACTGAGGGAGTTTACAGTACAGAGTCACTGTGTTTCCTGTCAGTAAAGGTCTGTTATGGTTTAAGGTGATTGTAGGTCTGACTTTTACAAAGTTCAGTTGAGAGAATTTAGAAAATCAGCTTTATGTTATTTGTGTAACTTTAATGTTGGTTTAATGTTTAAGGAAACAGATAGTAGAGTTAACTCACTATGAGACATACGAGTGAAACATATCCAACAAGACTGCAATCTTTCTAATGTAGTATATATATCATTATTAATATCTAAATATATTATCAATTTATTAACTTCACCCTCACATGATACCTCCACACTCTTGTTTCAGTCATCATTACAGAGGAAACAGATCGGAGTAGATCAAAAGAAAAGCCCTACTATCGTCTGTATGATTGACCCACCTCTCAAACAGTTACAAGTATTGCTGAATGTTCATTCTTCCATCAAATGAAAGGGTACACACTAACAGAATTATTCAGAACAAACCTACACCGAAGCAGTTGTGTTTTGGATGATGGTATTCTGATAAACGAGCACCAGACCAGCATAAACCAGCTTAGACCAGTGTGGAAGTCATGCTGGTCTTAATTTTTTTTAGTTTATTTGTGTTTTTAGAGCTCAGTGTTAATACCATTAACAGACAGACTCATGCTGGCTCTTGGTTTAGCTAAACCTTATGTAGGTTACTGTATTTGCTAAAAAATCATTTTAATATGACAAAAACATGTTATAAAGCAATATTAAGGTCAATTAGCTGCTGATAGTAAGCTTGATAAATCAGTCAGAACTGTATGGTGAAACTGTATGGTGCTCACATTTGTGATTAAAACGTGTAAAACAAATATTAACACAATCATACATATGACACCCTTGTATTGTTTCTTTAATGTGTATAAGTTCTCTTCAGCATTTAACAGTGCTATGATTAGCTTTAGTGTTAGCTTCAGCACTCATTTGAAGAGGTAGCTTTTTTTTTAATAATAAATGTTTTCAGAGCTACTCTTCTGTGTGCTTCTAAATTTTCCTTCATATTACTGAACTTTTTAGTCTTTTACAAGATAGCTTTGCGCTGAGAGTTTGTTAAATGTAGGAACAAGTAATATTAGAGGTGGGGCTTTCTCTAACTTTTGCTGTCAGTCAATTAGTGCAGACCTTGAGGAGTTCTCTTAGATCATTTTTAAAATCATGTATATTATCAGATATGGTGACACATACATAAAGTGATAGACCAGTGAGAGACCACCCTTCATCTATTTTCCAATAATGGCTATTGACTATATTTGTTCATATTTTTAAAAGATATTTTTGAGGATTAGATTTAAGATAATCCACCTGCATAAGAAAAGGGGAAAGTCAAAGAAAATATGTGAAAAAACAAGAGCTTCCAAAGCTGGAGTTATATATTATATATACTAAAAATAAGAGAAAATGGGACTCCGAACAAACAGTGCAGGACCTAGTAGACCACCAAAACTGTCTCTATCAGATGAAGAGTACTTAAAGCTTTCATCTTTGAGATCTAAAAAAAAGCACAGTTTCTGCCCATCTTTCCACTGTGAGAAGACAACTCAACACTCTGAGTCTGAAAGGATGTGTAGCCGTCAAGAAGCTGTTATCGAGAAAAGGACATTTGCACATCAAACAAAGAAGTTGCTGGTGTTCTCAGAGCAATGAACTGACCACGCCAGAGTCCAGACCTCAACATTATTCGGATTGTAAGAAGCAGAAAATCTTCTAAGACCTCGTCCACATGTATCTGGACACATTGTTTTCCTCTGTGTTCTGTCCATCCACATGAAAATGGTGTTTCGATCCCTAAAAAGGGAGGTTCTAAAAGTTCACTCAAGGGTGGAGGTTATTGAAATCTCCTATTCATTGTTTTCATGGACGGGCAAATCACAGCTTTTTTGAAAACACTGACATCACACCATTACCTTGCACATGGCTGTAGCTGTTTTCATTTACTGAGCATCCACAGCGCTGTCTAAAATACAGCTGATTACTGGTATTTTTGGGGCCCATAAGTGGCACTTACAATAAAACACACGCAGCAGATTAATAAATATCCACTGTATTATTCTACAACAGTAACTTAAGAAGAAAATAGTAAACATGGTATCTGTTTAGCGAGGATTAGCTAGCTAGGCAGCTGCTCTCAGGCTGAAGTTGAGTTATGGAGAGCGGAGATCTTGGAGGGTTTTTTGTGGAGGTGTGTTTAACAGCTGATAATAATGCTGTTCTCTTAGTTCATTTGAAAATAAATCAGGATGACCATTTGGATAAAGTTCCCTACGTGTGCTGGTAACATTCTCCTCTCTTTTTCTCCACTAACCTGGATGTCTCTGAACTCGTCTGTAGTGTTTTTGAGGCTGGGAGCTGCTCTGTTGGCTCTGTTTTGATTGATGAATCTGTTTAATGTAACTGGGCTTTTTTATTAGCTAATACACTCAATTTATTTCTACTCTGTAATGTAATTAAAGATAAAGTAGTTTAAGTAGTTAGTTTAGTAATAAACATGTATTCTAATACAGTAATGAGAGTAAATGTAATGTTTTCCTTTTCTGTATTTTACACAGATTTAAACTCGACTGTTCTCAAACGAAGTGAAAGAAAACCTACAGCTTGTTGTTGTGTGGTTGCTTACATTGCCATGGCTATGCCACAGTCTCTGAAATGTCCACACTTTTCTGAGTTTTTTGAGATTTTCTCTACATTTGAATTACAGAGTTTTTAAGTCTGACTTTAGTTAATGACAAATATAATTTTTTAACATTTGCAGTGGAGTATACATATGTACATATATATATATATATATATATATATATATATATATATATATATATATATGTATATTTTATGTTGTGATTGCTGATATACAAAAAAGTAATGACTCTAGTTTTCCATTAAACTATCAAACTATCGTCTTATCGTCGTGTTATCATCGTGTTCAGTTATTGAGTCGGTGTTGTGTTGTTTTTGTGTTCTTCTGTGGACGGAGAGGTTTTTAAAAACAACGTTGGTGGGGAGAGTATTATTTGGAAAATGGAGAAAAAACACTATGTCTGCAAAAATATACATGTAGGTTAATCAATCCTGATCAACACTGAACTTTTGATATACTGAAAACTGGAAAGTATAATAAAGGCAAAATGGGGGCTCAGTAACTACTGAATTTGAGAATACATATTGTTATTGAGGCTTCAGTGTAATTTTCTGTTACATACATGCTTTTTCCCCCCAGCACAGATAAATGAATAGCTTCTAGGCCTACTTTATAGCTGTGTTAACATTTGTAATGCACTTTAAACTCTTAATGGGAGAAATAAAATGAGAAAGACGCCACACTCACCTGATACAGTCAGTGTAACAGCTTCACTGGTGTGTGTGTATATTCGGCCTGTTGACTGTGTTCCCTTACAGGTATAAACACCTGCATGAGTCTGATTAACAATAGAGATTTCATATTTCTTCCTTTTAGCGTCTCTGAGAAGATTATTATTCTTATACCATTCATAATTCCAGTCATCTCCACTTTCTATTTCACATGTCAGAGTGACTCTCTCTCTGATGAACACATGATCAGCTGGCTGGACTTTCACTGTAGCTTTTGGTCTCTCTGTTCAAAGATAACAAACACTTTCAAAACTTATTCACTCTCAGCATGCATGACAGTTCTTAACAAGATTTACTCTCTGTTAGTTTACAGAGAGAATTTTATTCCAGATGTGTTTTCAAGTCGATCACTACTGCTCTGCTGCATCTTTCACTTTCTGGCTGTGGACAGACACCAACATTTCAGACAAAAGCCAACTATTGCCTTCAGCTGATGTTGCCAGTGTTTATGAGATGAGCTAAATGAACTCAATAAATCTTCTAAGATCAATTTTTAAAGAAAATTTTGCTGATCATCTGTCACTTCTTTAGTTTGTACAGTTAGATGATTTTTCATAGCAGTTCTGCACGTCTGCATGTTTAACTGTTAAAGCTATACTATGTAAGTATGGGGGATTTGGAGACCTCTTTGGTGAAAAGGTGTAATTGCATGCAATGTGCAGAATAATATTTTATAATCACAGTTGTGCTGTGGACCCCCTGAGTAAATGAATCTGATGACTCTGTGCTCTTTGAAAGAGCATTCAAGGAAAACTCAGTTAGAACTTGGTGACAGACGTGTCTTCTGAGGATGTGAGTGAATGATCTACAACTGTGATCATATCTTCCCCTGTATAGTGTTATTTTTGCATTTGAGGCCTAAACGTCAAGTCGGACCTTCTTTTTGAGACTGTTTGGGATGTTAATACCTCAAGATGAATGACATGGTCGGAAAAAAAAAGTTCTGACCCCTCTAACTTGTAGGCTTTACTGGGTGACTCATTTTAGTGTGTTTTTGTCCTGCTACTTCTTTCAATTTTAATAAAAAATCTTACAAAGTGCAGCTTTAGTGATGAAAATTATGTGAATAAGACGCCACACTCACCTGATACAGTCAGTGTAACAGCTTCACTGGTGTGTGTGTATATTCGGCCTGTTGACTGTGTTCCCTTACAGGTATAAACACCAGCATGAGACTGATCAACATTAGAGATTTCATATTTCTTCCTTTTAGCATCTCTGAGAAGATTATTATTCTTATACCATTCATAATTCCAGTAATCTCCACTTTCTATTTCACATGTCAGAGTGACTCTCTCTCTGATGAACACATGATCAGCTGGCTGGACTTTCACTGTAGCTTTTGGTCTCTCTGTTCAAAGATGGTAAATACATTCAAAACTTATACACTCTCTCTGAACATGCAGGACAGTGTTCAACAAGATTTACTCTCTAATAGTTTACAGAGAGAATTTTATTCCAGATGTGTGTTCAAGTCGATCACTACTGCTCTGCTGCATCTTTCACTTTCTGGCTGTGGACAGACACCAACATTTCAGACAAAAGCCAACTATTGCCTTCAGCTGATGTTGCCAGTGTTTATGAGATGAGCTAAATGAACTCAATAAATCTTCTAAGATCAATTTTTAAAGAAAATTTTGCTGATCATCTGTCACTTCTTTAGTTTGTACAGTTAGATGATTTTTCATAGCAGTTCTGCACGTCTGCATGTTTAACTGTTAAAGCTATACTATGTAAGTATGGGGGATTTGGAGACCTCTTTGGTGAAAAGGTGTAATTGCATGCAATGTGCAGAATAATATTTTATAATCACAGTTGTGCTGTGGACCCCCTGAGTAAATGAATCTGATGACTCTGTGCTCTTTGAAAGAGCATTCAAGGAGAACTCAGTCAGAACTTGGTGACAGACGTGTCTTCTGAGGATGTGAGTGAATGATCTACAACTGTGATCATATCTTCCCCTGTATAGTGTTATTTTTGCATTTGAGGCCTAAACGTCAAGTCGGACCTTCTTTTTGAGACTGTTTGGGATGTTAATACCTCAAGATGAATGACATGGTCGGAAAAAAAAGTTCTGACCCCTCTAACTTGTAGGCTTTACTGGGTGACTCATTTTAGTGTGTTTTTGTCCTGCTACTTCTTTCAATTTTAATAAAAAATCTTACAAAGTGCAGCTTTAGTGATGAAAATTATGTGAATAAGATGCCACACTCACCTGATACAGTCAGTGTAACAGCTTCATTGGTGTGTGTGTATATTCGGCCTGTTGACTGTGTTCCCTTACAGGTATAAACTCCTGCATGAGACTGATCAACATTAGAGATTTCATATTTCTTCCTTTTAGCATCTCTGAGAAGATTATTATTCTTATACCATTCATAATTCCAGTCATCTCCACTTTCTATTTCACATGTCAGAGTGACTCTCTCTCTGATGAACACATGATCAGCTGGCTGGACTTTCACTGTAGCTTTTGGTCTCTCTGTTCAAAGATGGTAAATACATTCAAAACTTATACACTCTCTCTGAACATGCAGGACAGTGTTCAACAAGATTTACTCTCTAATAGTTTACAGAGAGAATTTTATTCCAGATGTGTGTTCAAGTCGATCACTACTGCTCTGCTGCATCTTTCACTTTCTGGCTGTGGACAGACACCAACATTTCAGACAAACGCCAACTACTGCCATCAGCTGATGTTGCCAGTTTTTATGAGATGAGCTATATGAACTCAATAAATCTTCTAAGATAATTTTTTAAAGAGAATTTTGCTGATCATCGTCTGTCACTTTTTTAGTTTGTACAGTTAGATGATTTTTCATAGCAGTTATGCACGTCTGCATGTTTAACTGTTAAAGCTATATTATGTAAGTATGGGGGATTTGGAGACCTCTTTGGTGAAAAGGTGTAATTGCATGCAATGTGCAGAATAATATTTTATAATCACAGTTGTGCTGTGGACCCCCTGAGTAAATGAATCTGATGACTCTGTGCTCTTTGAAAGAGCATTCAAGGAGAACTCAGTCAGAACTTGGTGACAGACGTGTCTTCTGAGGATGTGAGTGAATGATCTACTACTATGATCATATCTTCCCCTGTATAGTTTTATTTTTGCATTTGTGGCCTAACCGTCAAGTCGGACCTTCTTTTTGAGACAGTTTGGGATGTTAATACCTCAAGATGAATGACATGGTCCAAAAAAAAAGTTCTGACCCCTCTAACTTGTAGGCTTTACTGGGTGTCTCATTTTAGTGTGTTTTTTCCTGCTACTTCTTTCAATTTTAATAAAAAATCTTGCAAAGTGCAGCTTTAGTGATGAAAATTATGTGAATAAGACGCCACACTCACCTGATACAGTCAGTGTAACAGCTTCACTGGTGTGTGTGTATATTCGGCCTGTTGACTGTGTTCCCTTACAGGTATAAACACCTGCATGAGACTGATCAACATTAGAGATTTCATATTTCTTCCTTTTAGCATCTCTGAGAAGATTATTATTCTTATACCATTCATAATTCCAGTCATCTCCACTTTCTATTTCACATGTCAGAGTGACTCTCTCTCTGATGAACACATGATCAGCTGGCTGGACTTTCACTGTAGCTTTTGGTCTCTCTGTTCAAAGATTACAAATACTTTTAAAACTTATTCACTCTCTCTGAACATGCATGACAGTATTCAAAAACATTCACCCTCTATTAGTTTGCATACAGAGTTTTACTCCAGATGTGTTTTGAAGTCGATCAGTCCTACTCTTCTGCATCCTCAACTTTCTTGTTGTGGACAAACCTTCACAAACTATTCACAAAAGCCAACTATTCCCATCAGATGGTGTTATCATTGCCTACGAGATGCGCTACATGAACTAATACAGTGAGCTGGATATCTTCAGCTTTTTGTGCTGAATTCAGATGCAATTCAGATCCGTTTTGAATGGTTATATATGAAACTGGCAATTGAGCCTAAACACAGAGTATCTCTGTAGTAAAAAACACAGAATGTGTGTCTCCTTCATGCAAATGTATTTGAGGGAGTCACGCAAAACCTAGGAGGATTGTGCAAAGAATTCAGTGGAGATGTTGGAAGTACAGCTGATTATATATTAGACCTTATTTACTAAAGTATGAGCAACTTGCCGCAGACAATTTTACATGGATTTTTCTCCACCTTCTAAAACCAGACATAGATTTGTAATGAAGTTTCAAAACATGGCTAAGTGTGGCTAAAAGCAGATGTAGGATGTAGAGACATGCAGACGACTCTGGGGGAAATGTGTAATTGCATAAAATGTGCAGAAGAATATTTTGTAACACCAGTTGTGTTTTAGCTCCCCTCACTGGATGAATCTGATGACTGCAAGCCTGTTAAACAAGTATTCAAAGAGAACTCAGTCTGAACTTGGTGAAGGACGTATCTGCCGCGGAAGTAAATGATTGATCTACTGTTGTCCATAACTTCATCAGTGCAATGTTAATTTTGCACATAAGACATAAGCATCAAGCTGATCCTTCTTTTTGAGCCTGTGCATGTGACAGTAATACATAGAGATGCAGTGGTTCAAAAAACCCTGCAAAATCTGACCTGACTGGTCTGATTTTGAAAGCATGTTCTTCCCTCCTGCTACTTCTTTTAATAAAACATCTCACATATTGAAGCCTTTATAATAGAAAATAGTATGAAAGATGCTACACTTACCTGATACAGTCAGTGTAACAGCTTCACTGGTGTGTGTGTGTATTCGGCCTGTTGACTGTGTTCCCTTACAGGTATAAACACCTGCATGAGACTGATCAACATTAGAGATTTCATATTCCTTCCTTTGAGCATCTCTGAGAAGATTATTATTCTTATACCATTCATAATTCCAGTCATCTCCACTTTCTATTTCACATGTCAGAGTGACTCTCTCTCTGATGGACACATGATCAGCTGGCTGGACTTTCACTGTAGCTTTTGGTCTCTCTGTTCAAAGAAAATAAATTCCACTTTTAACTTTTAAAACTTAAATACTCTCTGTAAAACCTCAAAATACTGTTTCATTGTTAATATCTTACTATTCAGGAAGTAAGCAGGGAATGAATAGTGCTGTATAACATGTAAGCAATTTGGTTGCCTTAAAGTTTTGAGTTTATTGAATTTCACATAATACGTAAAACACATATTATTGTTCTCTTAACTCACTATTGGAAGTTTACTTAATGCAAAATTTGAAGGTGACCAGGTTACTTACTTTGATTCATTTTTATTGAATCATTTTTGACAGTGTGTAGTGTATTCCAACACCTTTAAAATACACCACAGTGTATGAATATAAAGGACTATAGCCTCTATTATTATTCACAGAAACAGGTATCCTCAGAGGAGGTGGGAGGCACCACAACACTGTACTGAATGGTGTCCCTCGAGTGCTAATGCACATCTTCATAGTGTAAACCAATTTGCACATCAGCCTATAAATGGGACAATTTCTAAAATACTAGTTTTCAGTAAACCAGTCTGCTTAGCTCTCATCTCCTCTTGAGGTCATGGTCAAGGGAAGAGATGGCTCAGAGAAATATAAGGCTGTTTATGTTGCCTTTGGGAAAGTTCTTCTAAATATTACCATATGATTGTGTAATTACTATATATTAGATGATGAATGAGGTTTTACTGTCTTGTGTTAGGAGTTAAACATGTTCTAGAACAACAAAGTGAAACACAAAGTGATAACTCATTACTAATGAATTTGTTTTTATGTTTTTATATAGAAGATAATAATAAAAAGTAAAGGAATTATAAAGTAAAACATAAAATAAAAATCTCCAATGGAAATACTCTGTATGAATAAAATATTAATGAAAAACATTTAGTGAGACTAATTAAGTTGTTTCTTGAGTCCTTTTTTATTCGTGTACAATCAAATTTTGAAAATATTCCTGAGTTGGCTATATCATTAAAAATAACACACCCAAACAAAATGAAATGTGTTTTGTACTAAAGGAGGAAGGTCTGAGACCCAAGACTGATCACAGAATGTTCTGCTGTTGCATTAATTACACATCTTTCTGAGTCGTATCTAAGACACAAAGTTTCACTGCTCATTAGTTTTGTTCACATGAGCTACATTAACTAGCTGACATGCACTCTAACTGAACATAAGCAGCAGCTTTAGGTTTAATAAAGCACTAATGTGTTTGTTCTTCTACAAAACATTGTAAAAGAGCACTGTACCTACTTAGCTAGTTAGCAAGTCAGCTAACTGTGTCTCTACATTAATGTTGTTGTAGTTCTGGAGTTTAATAAAACAGTCCTTCATCTACATCAGGGGTCTCACAGTAGTGGCCCAAGGGTCTGCATTGGCCTGATTCATTCAGAATAACATAGCGGTAAATACAGCGTGTCAGAATTAAAATGTGATAAGAATTATAAATGAATCCACTGAGAGCTCAGAATTAACTGCTTTGCATTCCTGGCTCTTTACTGAAAAACTCACTTTTAGCAGAAATGCCAGTTCTGTCATAATAAGAGTCCCATGCAATTCTGCTGTAAAATGTAAGTTTATTTAATTCAATTGAACACTAACTGTTTAGTTCAATACTACTACTACTACTACAACTAATAATAATAACAATAATAACAGTGGTAAGACCAAGACGAGACTAAGGCCAGCCCACTGACATTTAGCAGTTCATTGTAAATTCCTTATCAAGCCATCATGGAAAGGATCAATTAGATTAGTGGTCTCCGCCCCTCGTCCTGGAGAGTTTCTTCCTGCAGAGTTTAGTTCAAACCTGTATCCAATAAGCTGCCCTGACCCTTACTTAACTCTACTACATCTGATCCAGCCAATCAGGGACTTGAGAAGAGGTTGATTAGCTGGATCAGGTGCAGCAAATTGTGGTTGGAACTGGGCTCTGCAGGAAGTTAGTTCTGTAGTACCAGGGCTGGAGACCACTGAATTAGATTCTCAAGCAACAGCGAACAGATTTTATTTAGGCTCAGCAAGTCAAGCCACAAACCAAACTGGTGAAGATGGTCATTGTATTCTTCTTCTTCTTATTATTATTATTATTATGTCCATATTTTAAATCTGACATGCTGTATGTATCACTGTGTTGTAAATGAATCAGGCTCATGGCAGTTCCAATATAGAGACACAGTTAGCTGACTTGCTAACTAATCTTAACTGTAGGCACGGTGTGTTTTTTACGATGTTGCTTTTACTGTAATGCATGTTAGTGCATTATTAAACCTAAAGCTGCTGCTTTGGTTCAAACCTAAAGAGTGCATGCTAGCTGGTTTATTTAGCTACTAAACAAAACTAATGTGCAAACCTTTGTATCTTAAATATTAAAGCAAAAGATGTGTAAATAATGTACTTGCAGAACACTGTGATCAGTTTAGGTCTCAGACCTTCCTTTGGTTAAAATTTGATTTCACGTTTATTTGCTGTTTTAATTTCAATGACATTGTCGATTCAGAAATATTCTCAAATTTTCAGTGTAATTAAATAAAAAATAACTCAACAACTTATTTACACTTCTTTTTTAAAATTGTCTTTATTAGTATTTTATTTGTACTACAGTAAGTCTTTTCACTGGAGATTTTCATTTACATCTGTTTTACTTTATAATACTGTCCTGTATCATTAACTCCTAATAAAGGGGGGTAACAACTTGCTCATTATCTAACATACAGTAATTACATAATTATGTGGTAATATTTGGAGGAACTTTCCATGAGCCATCTCTTTGATTGACCCTGCTCTCAAGGGGACTTTAAAGGATGACTACTGTTGAGAAGAAGCAAGACTGACCCACAGCTCCTACAGAAAAAATGGTGTTTTCTATTCTGAAGATGAGAGGTAGACAGACTGGTCTACTGAATACTGTAGTATTTTAGAAACTGTCCAATATGTAGACTGAGGTGCAAATTGGTTAACACTGCCATGAGCTGTTTAAAGTTTCTGATAAAACAAACACGAGAGACAGCAGTCAGTACAGTGTGGTGTGGTTCCTCCCACCTCCTCTGAGGATACCTGTTTCTATAAGTAATAATAGAGGATATAAAACCTTTATATTTTAGATTTAGCACACTGTGTAGTGTATTTCAATACTTTTAGAAGTGTTACAATACACTACATCAGTTAGTAGTTCAGCAGGAGTCCTGTTAGGCTCTATTTGGTATTGAACAGTTACTGTTAATCAGTAATGAATGAGTAGTTATTCTAAGAAACCACATTTACTCAGTAGTTTTCTAGGAGAATATAAGACTTAGTAGTTATTGTTTAGGTAATAGTGAGCTACTCTGATCATTAGTTCATTAACCTACTGTGTAATTAACTATAACCTACTGTGTAATTAACTAGTACTCCTTGGTGCTAAGTAATATTTACTTAACTGTTAATGCAGCACTATTCATTCATCCCTGCTTAGTTCCTGAATAGTTAGCTATTAACTGCAAAACAGTATTGTAAACTGTTAC